CCGAATTAAAAAAACCGGATATCCGGATATAGCTTATCGGATAAATGGATGATGGATTGATCCGGATTGGAACTCTAGTAAATAGTGTAGAACTCTAGCATAGCACTAATGCTTTTGTCAGACTACTTAAATTAGATATCAAAAGTGCATATATATCTTCATTATAATGTATAGCTTAGATTGTATTTAATAAAATCTCACTGCCCAAGAGACCACTTTTGAAATTTAAATAAATAAATAAATAAATAAAATTAAAATTACATGCTTTGTTATTATTATCTAAATACTTTTTAAAGTTTACTTTTATATACAGTCATCCTTCTTTATAGTCACCCCCTCTATAATCACATAATATAAAAACCTCTCTTTATCACATTTTATACTCAAAAACAAATTACTATTAAACATATGAAAAACTATCTCTATATAAGCACAACCTCTTTATAAATACATTTTTTAAAAAAGTTATTAAGTATACAAAACGTGTGATTATAGAGGGGGATGACTGTAATACCATGTTTATCTTATAAATGCCCAATTAAATTAGAAGTATTTCTACCTTTTTTGATATATAGATAAGATATTTTATTACTTTAGCTAAGCAATTTTACAATAAATAATTTTTACATTTCTTCAAAAAAGTAAGTAGTAAAACTTTGATTATTCATAGTTTTTTGTTATTTTTTTTTATTATTTGAAAATGAAGATGAATTAAAAGATTCTAAATAAGACAAAGGTTGTAAAATTAGAAAGTAATAGATTTATTTTTTTATTTTGATAAAAATTAAAATAATAAAGAAATATAGTAATTAATAAATATTATTAATAATAAAATAATATATTATTAATTATAAAATTATGTAATTAATTATAAAATTATATAATTAATTATGAAATTATGTAATTATAGCTTTCATATTTTGAGATTAAAAATAAAACTGGATTTTAATTTTAAACCCAATTTGTCAGAATTTTATAACCAAATTCTAATTTTAAAACCAGTCACAGGTTGGATCAATAAATATCAGATGTATACTGAGTTATGTACCTAATAGTCTGCCATAGATCTGCCAAATAACTGTTAAATAACAGTAGTATTGGTATAATATTGGAAAGTTATCAGAAGGTAGATAGATATTAACAATATAATAGCAAAATATTAGGAAATTTTAATATCTTACTTTTAGACCCAGAATGCTAAGAGTAAGATATCAGAGTATTCTAATATTGTACTATTATATTGCTGATATCAATCTATCTTCTGATATCCTACCAATATTCTGCCAATATGCTACTGTTATTCAGCAGTTATTTGGTGAATCTATAGCATACTATCAGGTATATAACAGAAAATGTGTCTCCCAGTATGCACCTAATATTTATTGATTCAACATATAAGTGTCATGGAGTTTTTCAGACTACTGTGTACTTCTTGGTCTTCAGTATTAGTTTTTACTTGTTTGGCTTATTTATTCAATAATCATGTATCATACAGGCTCTTTCTCTAATAATGTATTCATACAGATAACTGTTTATTCACAAAGTATTAAGATAATTACAAGAATGAAGCTAGACACTTCTTATTTTGAAATAATGTTTTATATTAATTACTTATATATATTTGCATCATTGATTACAATATTGTTTATGTATTACTATTTTAAACTTTTAATTAATTTTATACAAATCTGGATTACACTATACATGCAAATTCTTATTTAATCTCATAGGCAGACTTTCATATGATTGGTTGTTTAAATCAATTTAATTTTATATTATTTATACAGTTTAAAGTACTTTTTTAAAAAAAGAAAACTATGAAGAATAACCAAAAAAGAAGTATATAGAAAAGTTTATTAGTGTTGTAAAACTCTACTATTAAAAATAATCAAAATACTTTTTACTTTAAAGAAGTTAGCATAATAGCAATATTTTAAAGATAGGTAAAATTAGATTATCATCATGCTAACTTCTCTAAAACAAAAAAGAATTTTTATTATTTTTAATACTAGAGTCTATAACTCTAAGAAACTTTCTATATACTTCTTTTTTGTTTATTCTTTATAGTTTTCTTTTTTTTAAAAGTACTTTAAACTGTATAAATAATGCATAATTAAATTGATATAAATAGCCAATTACTGCCTATGAAATCTGATTGCAATACCTAACTCTTTTGCTATAAATTTCTAGGGCACCAAAGTCACCCACAACACCAGTTTGTCCAAATTTTATAACCATTATAAAACTGATTTATATCAGGAAATTTTTAAATAAGATGTATATCGATTACTAGCTGCAGGGTTAATTGCAATCGATTTATATTGATTATAATTAATTACAATCATTTAAATTTAAATAATTACAATCAATTTATATTGATTATAATCAATTGTAATCATTTAAATTTAAACAATTGCAATTGATAATAATCGATATAAATTGATTGCAATTAATTCTGCAGCTAGTAATTGATATGTATCTTATTTAAAAATTTTCTATGTAATATTGTAATTGTTATATACGATTATAATGTTTAGGCATTTTGGGGTTTTAAGAGAATTTGGTATTTTTATTAAAGATAAGTATTGAGGCGTCCTCCAAGTTTGCCTCTACAAAGGTCTTTTCTTAAGGTCTTTTATATAGTTTTGCATTTGCTAATACTTAAACTTTTATATTCTAGATCTTTGATCCCAGAACTATCTATTATGAGTTATGCATAACAACTGTATGCATAATGATTTATGCATAACAATTATATGCGTAATGATAATATGTGTGATGAATATATAACAGGCTTATGCGGAGGCAAAGTAAATAAATTATGGGGCATTATGATACAAGGAGTATATCTAATCCAAATAAATAAAGTGAAATAGATAATATAAAATAGCATCATAGAATGATATAATAAATAAAATAAATAAAAATAAAAATAATTAAATAAAATATAAGACTAGCGAAAGTCTAAGATTGTCTATATCACGTAATAGTTATATCACATGGGAGTACTATGCACAACGTGTTACTAGTATTTATCTTACACCTCCTTCTCCTTAAATGACCGAGGTCCTCTGAGGCACTTGGTTGTATAACGTTATACTCTAAGCCTCTGGATTTTTTTTTTTTTTTTAGCCTATAAATACATCATCGGTTCCCAGGCTAGTCTCTTGTGATATAGTTTTAATTGATTCATGTTCACTAGGTTCTTCAGGATCTTACCATCTTCTGTTCGTAACTTGTACATCCCTGGAGCTCCATGGTCGTGGATGAAGTAAGGGCCTTTTCATTTTTTCTGTAATTTGTCACTATACACCTTTTCTTTGGCTGACTTGTATAGTAACACTTGAATTACTGATTTTAAATTTTACAGTCTTTAGGTCACAATCGTGGTATTTTTTTTGCTTCTGTTGGGCTCTTTGGATATTACTTTGGGCTTGAATTCTCTGTTGGTACAATTGTTCAGTAATTTTATTGACATGCAATTTCAATGATTGTTCTAAGGGCGGTTTTGAAATGTCTTCTTCCGGTTGTAACTGTAGATCCAGTGGAAGGGTAGCAGTGTGTCCATATATAAGGTAGAATGGGTCATATTTGCTAGTATGGTTCGGGAAAGTATGGTAAGCAAATAGAGCTGCCGGTAGTAGGGTATCCCGAGTGGTTTTATAATCACCAACTAGTTTTGCTAAAGTAGAACAGAGGGTTTTGTTGAATCTCTCTGTGAGACCATTCGTCTAAGGGTGGTAGGCGGCTGCTAAATAATAGTGGGTGGTCATAATTTTGCATAATGCATCTATAATTTTGTTATAAAAGGAGTATCCTTGGTTAGAAAGAAGGGTCCATGTACAACCATGATGATATATAATATTATCATAAATAAACTGGGTGATTGTAAATGCCATCATATTGGGTATAGAACATACTTCGGGCCACTTTGTCAGGTATTATGTGGCTACAATGATATAGTGATTTCTTGTTTTAGTGATATCTTTGAAAGGGCCTACTATATCGATGCTCACTCAGTCGAATGGGCTCCTGCTTGAAGGGGATGTAACTCTTCATGTGGCTTTGGGGTGCCTTGCCATTGATAGATATCGTATGTTTGTATGTACTCTTTGATAATTTTATACATTTGGGGCCAAAAGTACTTATTTCTGGCCTTATTGTAAGTAGATTCTATTCCAAAGTGTCTAGCTATTATATCTGAATAGAGCCCATATAATGCTTATTCTAGTTTATTTGCTTTGATGACTCTTAGCAAGGATCTATTTACTTTCTTATTTTTTCGAAATAATAGGTCATTCTGGACAACATAATGGGTGGCCTGCTTTCTGAATCTTTGCTGTTGTGTTTGATTCAAATTGTTTAGTGTTTTGGTGGTTTCTAAATAGGTCTTAAGTTGTTGATATTGTTGTAAGTTCATATTTGTTTATTTCTATATTTTAACTTAGTATATATTATTTTAAAGGCCAGAACACTAGTAACCTGGGCTAGATTGGGTCCAGATTTTTTTTCTTTTGATGGATGTATCCTTAACTTTTTTATTTATTTATTTATTTACTATATATACTTGGTTAGTGCTTTATTTAGCATACATTTTATTTTTCTTAAAGTTCTTTTCCTCATAGTGGTTTGTGAGAGATTCGAGACAAAGTATCCACATTATTGTGTGCTATACACCTCCTATAGTAGATAGTGCATGGGTACTCAGTGGCAATCATAATCTAACTTGCAAGTCTACCAATGGGTTGTGAATTATTTAACAGCCATTTGAGAGCTTGGTGGTCTGTTACTAATTCTAATTCTTTGCTATATATATATATATATAAATATTGCATGGCCCATATGGCAGCCAAGCATTTAATTTCAGTCACTAAATAGTTTCTTTCAGGGTCACTTAAGCCTCAGCTTGCATAAGCCACTATATATTCTTTCCTTTTGTTATCTTTCTGTACTAGGATAGCATCTAGGCCGATATATAAGGTGTTAGTATATAGAATAAAAGATTTCTCAAAATCAGGATAGTGCAAGATGGGTGTAGTCACCAATCTTTGCTTTAACCTTTCAAAGGCTTTCTGGCACTTATCATTCCATTCTAAAAAAACATTCTTTTTCAACAAGGTATTAAAAGGTTGTATTATCTTTGCAAAATTTTCCACAAACTTATGATAGTATGATGCCAACCCAATAAAACTTTATAATTCAGTAAGAGTGATCAGCACCAGAAAATTTTGAACTTTCTTAATATTATTAGGGTTAGAAGCAATTCCTTCCCTGCTTATTAGGTGTTCAAGGAATGATAGTTGCCTTTTGAAAATATGATATTTTCTTTACTAAAGCATAGCCCAGCATGCTATAGTAGGTCGAAAACTTGTTGAAGGTGATTTAAATATTCATTTAATGTTTTTGAATAGATATTTATATTGTCAAGATAAACTAACATGAATTTTCTATTAATAGGATGTAGAATTCTATTCATCAGCCTCTGAAAAGTCACAGGGACATTAGATAGCCTGAACAGCAATTCATATAGTTCATCTTTGGTAATAAAAGCGATCTTTTCTCAGTCCTGGTGGCACATCTCTATTTGCCAGTAGCAACTTGCCAAGTCCAAGATTGAGAACTAGGAATTTCATTGATAAGGAGCAACAGATAAGAGTCTTTTATTGTCAAGGCATTTATTTTTTAATAATTGACACAAAATTGAGTCTTACTATTCTTCTTTTTTACTAGTTCTATAGGAGAGCTCTATAGGCTTGTTAATTCTTGGACAATTCCGTAGTTCAACATTTGATCAACCTCTTGAGTAATAAATTCATTCTCTGTATGTGATACTCGATAGAGTCTTGTTTTATAGATTCAGCCCCTTCTTTTAGTACAATCTGATGTGTTTCTGCTTTCGTCCTTTCCAACTCTGTTAACCCTACTGCAAACAGGTCTTTATTCATTTCAAGTAATTCTTCTATCTGATCTTGCTGTTTTTTTTCTAATTTGTTAGATTCTTTTTGACCTTCCATTATCTCTAACTCCTGATTTAAATCATCAATTAGGCATTCTAATGTCTCCATCCCTTCGGACAGTTCTCGACATTCTAGACAACTATCTTCTACGTGACTCAATTATAGGCTTTTGCTTTGGCACACTCATATAGTTTCATCTGAATATAAAAACTCTTTTACAAATTCAAGATTAACTAGTAAATATTCTCTCTAATATTTTTAATTTCACAAACAAATTTAATATGTATTTAATTTTACTCTGATTTAAAATTATCAAATACAAAATATTTTAAGTGATAATTTATTCAACCAAACAACTTTAAGCATTCATTAATATGTTCTATTTCTGTCTGAGAGTTCACACAATTCCAAAATACCTACATGATTAGTTACGTACAGAGTTGGAATTAGAGGTTAGAACTGGTTAAAAAAATTCAACTATAAATTTAGGTTGGTCCAGTTTTATATTGTAAGATAAATACTAGTAACATGTTGCACATAGTACTTCCACGTGATATAACTATCACATGAAATAGACAACCTTAGACATTCGCTAGTCTTATATTTTATTTAATTATTTTTATTTTTATTTATTTTATTTATTATATTATTCTACAATACTATTCTATATTATTTATTTTGCTTTATTTATTTGGATTAGATGTACTCCTTGTATTATAATGCCATCCATAATTTATTTACTTTGCTTCGCATAAGCCTGTTATGTATTTGTCTACATATGATCATTACATATACAATCATTACACATAAATCATTATACATATGGTTATTATACATAACTTATAGTAGATAGTTCTGGGATCAAAGATCTAAAATATAAAAGTTTAAGTGTTAGCAAATGCAAAACTATATAAAAGACATTAAGAAAAGATCTTTGTAGAGGCAAACTTGGGGACGCCTCAATACTTATCTTTAATAAAAATATCAAATTCTCTTAAAAACCCAAAACGCCTAAACATTATAATCATATATAACGATCACACTTGGTGACAATGACAAGACTGGGCTTCCTAAGAGATAGTTAAGCACCAATATATAAGTAATCCATAATTACATATTTTTTCAGAACCCAATATCGATAGTGGAATAACCATCCAAACCCGATCAGAACTTTCTTTTACCTCATCGGAAGATTCAGAGAATATATCAATATTGATTGACCAGAAAATATTTACTAGCCTACAGGTTGAGACCTACTGCTGCTGCTACAAAAAGACAAAGTTATTTGCAGTATCCAGACCCTAGACCTGGACCATGAAAAGAGAAAAGGAATAAAAATAAAACTAAACTTATTAGTCTAGAGGTGCCCAGAACATTGTTGGAAGAACAAAAAAAACTATCAGATTCGGTATATTTATTCTTCACCAAGTTGAACTAGACAACTATAGTGACTTTGAGCAACAAATTCTAGTACATGACTCTGAGGACTTAGTCCTACTTTTACCTTAGTGGTCGATAATCTTTACGAAAGTAATGATTATTAAACAGAATACGAAGACCGATATTTGCACTATAGAGCAAAAAGAACCTATACTCATGGCTATAAAAGGCCCCAAATCAATAATGAACACATTGTGAAGCCATTGGAGCCAGAGACCCAACCAGAAGACAATTATTTTTGCAAACATCCTATGTACACTTCAAAATTAATAGTCTACCACCCCAAAGACTTCCACCCACTCCTCTACAAACTCCACTACCGCAACAACAACCATTAGACAGACGCCAACCACTTCTATGGCCTAATTGATCAATAAACCTTCCCCCATAGCAGGATCCACCTCCATTCAACCCCAGCCTCAACTAGCTCACAGGGCTGCTGCAGTAAACCCAATAGACCAATTATTGCAAAGTATGAATAACCTCATACTTGCAATGGGTACCAATGCTAACTAACCTCAGGAAGCTAAAGTGGTTAAGTTTTCTACCTTTAGTGGTGGTGATCAAAACCCTCTTGTATAGTTGGACAAGTTTGATAAGGCGTGTATAGCAAACCACATAACAGAACAATAGAGGTTCGATATTTTGCCCTTTCATCTAAAATGGACAGTATATCTGGTGAAAGGGCAAGATATATAATATTTTGGCCTAAGATGACCGCAATCACCCACAGCATTTATTCATTTACTTGTTTCAGCAACAATTTTGTACCATGTATTAGCAAAACTAATGGTTGCTAAACTCAGAGGCTACTAACAGGGATTAGGAAAGATAGTAGATAACTATTATGATGAATTAGAAAAACTTTACTGAAAAGCAGATCCGATGGGAAAGTACCCACAAATTGACTAAATCTTCCAGTTCACAGACGGATTGAGACAAGAGTTAAGAGAACTAGTGAAAATGGAATATCCAACCACCTTATAACAGGTGTTGAAAAAAGCGAAAGCTGCCAAAGCAGTGTATTCTAAAGGAGGACCCTTAAGCTCCTATTCCTTGAAAAAGAGTTACTTGAGTTATGAAGGTTCTGATAATAAAGAAATTGGGAAATTAAAGAAAGCTATATCAGAAATAGCACAAAACATAAAAACTCTAATACAAAAACAAAATGAAGATAAGAAAGTAGCCTCTAGTGTATCATCCAGCTTGTCTCAGATAACTCTCACTAAGTCATGCCCTGTTCAGTCATGTACTGCTCTAGCCAGTATCCTCTGCTATCAATGTGGAGAAAAAAGATATATATCTAGAGAATGTCCTAGTAGGAGTCTTACAATAACAACAATGGTGTAGCAAGGCAAAATCGCCCTACAAATGGACAATACAATAACAACTAACTTTCAACAAATAACCTGCAGCAAAACCAATTCAGCCTAAAAACACTAATAATAGAAATCAGACCTATTTTACCTTATTAGCAGAAGAACTCACAGAGCCATTAGAGCTGATATCTGTAACCATTTAAACTAACATTGGCCACTTCTCGCAAGGATGAGAATGCTGAAAACAGAAATTTGACAGACTCCTTAGTTAGTAGTTTTAGTTTATTGGACATGCCATTACCTAATAATTTGCTGACACCCTAGCCTTAAAAAGTACTATAGAAGTGCTAGACACTTCTTCCCACCTATAGAAGTAACTTATTGTGAAGCTACTATAAAACGGCATTCCATCTACAGGGTCAAGTAAAAGTTTGGTTTTGCATGAATTTCTAAAAAAGATCGGAAAAGATATTAATTGGTGATTCACTAGTCAACCAGAGAAAAATTATAGTAAAAAGTAAATCAAATTACTTATAAAAATTGGGGGTCTCCAAATTTGGCGTGCATACATATAAAACTTTTTTATACTAAGTTAATCACTTTTCTAACTTAAGAGACTTTTGTAGAGCTTGTCAAAACGCATCTAATGGTGGGTAGAGCGTCAAAATC